AAGAAATGGGTTGTTGTTGTCAAGCTTGTTGCAGTACATTCGTGGCGCTGTTATGAAGATTACCCCCCCGGCGCGGCAGTGGCAGCAGCAACGTGGATGCTATTTCCTTTTTCTTGTATAATTTTAAAAGTTTATTCATTTTTTTGATTTTTTTCCATTCGTTTTTTCATTTCCATTTCACTGCACTAGGAAGTAGGGAAATGGGTAGCTGATGTCGAGCATGTCGAGCTGCAACTCTGGCGGTGTTGTGAACATAACCCCCTCACTGCAGTTGTGTGGCAGCACTGACATAGTCAACATTGCCATCCCCCTACACGACATCGACATGCGAAGCATTGATTCCCCATCGCTGTGTTCGAATGACGAATTTGATGATGATGCTGATGATGACGATGATGCATAAATCGAATATGCCGACGAAGATTACCATCAGCGTCAATGTCATCATCATCAGCATCACCATCAACAACATCATCATCATCATCATCATCATCATCATCATCATCATCATCATCAATACCATCACCATCATCATCATCATCATCATCATCATCATCATCATCATCATCATCATCATCGTCGGATGTCGGGGGTGGTATTCTTGCGAAGTAACCTATGGCGAAAACCGTGGGTCGGTGCTGTCGTTGTCCAGGTGTTCGAGGTGAGAGGTCGTGCGGTACTTGAAGAAGTAGATAAGTAGCTGAACTGGCTTAGGAAAGGGTTGAAACATAAATTTAAAACTTCTTCCTGTAATTGTCCGGGTGTTTGAGGCGAGAGGCCGGTCGGTGCAGTCATTATGCAAGACTTGATGGGTTGGATTGGATTCATTTTGGCTACCGCGAGCGCAACATCAAAAATTTAGGGTGAGGACATTGAGTAAGGGTTTTTAACTTATGGCAGAAAAGATGAGTAGATGGGACTGCTTTTGGAACTGTTTTTTGTTTTGTTTTATTTTTGAAGATCAGTTAATGACGATTTAGATAAGCCGAGCATCCATTAAACCCTGAATGGTGATCCTTATCTTTCAGGGAGAAGCGCAAGCGGCGATTTCATGTGAGTAGCGTAATAGATGTCTTTAAAGACTTCGAAAGTTCGATTTTTTTTTTAATTATTATTATTATTTTTTTCCCGCGGTAGTTCCGCGTGGCATGCTGACAACCTTTATGATTCGGAGCACAGTTATGATAGCAAGGAGTGTCGCGATTAGCCCACCTTTTCGCTGTTCAGGGGAAAAGGGTGGATGGGAGCGAGTACTTCCGAGTTATGATTTCCACGACCACTTTCGAAATGATCCACAACCGATTAAGATGAGGCGGAAACGGTTTGGCTTTGAAGCCTTGGAAAAACGAATAGTCCATTGACTCTGATCATTGCAAGTACATTCGAACCGTTTTTGATAAGGTAAAACAGTAAACAGCTAACGTCATTAATCGAAAGCCACTCGATCTTGTTACTTTCATCATTCGCAAGTACGATTGAACTCCTTTCCTCCTTTTGCCAAGGTGATTGAGCCCCTTTTAGCCAAGGTAACTGAACGCCTCGTACTTCGCTTTAGAGGGTCGATCCTGAAAGATCAGAAGGCGATTTTGACAAAGGAGAGCATAATTGATAAAGCGAGCGCAAGCACATATTTCCATTTTTTTGACTAGAATATAACGTCGTTTAGAACACGCGACAGATGATCAATTCATGAGGAGAAACTCTGAACAACAAATGAAGCAAGAAATAGTATGAAAACCACAGATTATGAACTCATGAAACAACATCGGAATCGCTCACCGAAGTGTGGTTAATAAAAAAACAAGCAGACCGTCACCCCTTCCGTTTTCTTCTCGCCGATCGAGTGCTGTGGCCCGTCGAAGTGACACATGGGTTGTCGGGGGGCTTTTCGCATTCCAATTGCCCCTCCCTCAGGTAAGTGGGATTATTGAAATGTGACACTGAAATAAAAAATACAGACCGCTTCTACTTCATCCGTATATTTGAACATGAAAGTTGTCGTTTTGCAAAGCTTCGTTTTTTTTTTTTTTTTTTTTTTTTTTTTGCTCCTGTATTCTGACTTGTCAAAAAAGGTGGCAGCCGTTTCGAAATGTGACTCTTTACTTGCGAATACATCCATGTCATACAACTACCATGTCATACCACTTTTCCCGTGGTTTGGTGACATAGCCCCTTTGCTTCGCGAGAAGCAGCGACGGTGTGACGAAGGGCCGAGGCCGGGATGGGGGGATGTGGAATGGCTGGAGAGAGAGAGAGAGAGAGAGAGAGAGAGAGAGAGAGAGAGAGAGAGAGAGAGAGATGCTGTGAGGTACAGGGAATCCTGAGAAGGCGGTTTTTCGCCACGTCGACGCAAAGGCCATGCGCTGTCCCCTCTATAATCAAAGTCACGCCAACTAACAAATTGGATACCCGATTTCGTTACACACACAGAGAGAGAGATTGAGAGAGAGAGAGAGAGAGAGAGAGAGAGAGAGAGAGAGAGAGAGAGAGAGAGAGAGAGAGAGAGAGAGAGAGAGAGACGCCCTTTCGTGGCCACAAGAAATAACAATGGAAGTCTGCCCGTTAAAAATAGACAAAATAAAAATAAAAAAACACAAATGGAAAACGAGGTTGCATTGTGTTCCTTGACATCCCCAACAACATGCAGAAGCGGACATGGCAGCTTGCAGCAAAAAACGTTGCCTTAAAAAAAAAAAAAAAAAATGCCGGAAAAAAAAAAATAAAAAAAATAAAAAAAATTGAAATAAAACAAAAACAAGCGTCCACGATACGCACACCCCACACTTTATGTCTACGCCGAGAACGACGACAAGGTCGAAAACATGCAATGTCCGATTGACTGCAACAGTGCAAGCCCGACAGTTGATGTGGAAAAGGCGAAGGGCGTCTCTGTTTTTCTAACTCGCACAATAAATTACAGAGCGCTGTGCAATGCTGCATTGCATGCGAGAACCCTCGCACTATCGGGAGTCACTGCTACTCGGTGATTCCCTAGAGCTACCCCTCCTGCTGCGCAAGCTGCGAATGGCATCCGCGAGAGCAGAGTAACCCCTCTCAACCCTCTCCCCCATCCTGTCCGCAATCCGCTCGCGAGATGCGATTTCTTGTAGCACCAGCTCCCGGCGAGCCTCCACCTGCTGCGTCGCGATAGCCCGCGTGGCTTCTATCCGCATCACAGCGCACTCTTTGTCGGAACGCGTCAATGCAACTGTGTGCGCACGCATGACAATCGTCACAGACTGCACACTCGATTCCCGCGCACTGACATACCCTCGCTTGCGTTTCCCCAGCGTGGGCTCTATGCCCGCGCCCTGCGACCCAGAGGTAGATCCACCGACGCCAGCTGGCGGATCGCCGGATGCTCCTCCCGCCCCCGATCCATGGTCGGCTGCATCATCTTCATCTTCCAAACATTCCTCGTCTTCACCGGAATCTATTAGATTCGACAGGTCGATGGAGTCCTTGTCCTTCTCGCCCGGGTCGATGATGTCGTACCAGCTCCTTTTCAGGACGAAATCAACGTTGTACCTCTTCCTCTGAGCTTTGTTCATATCCCAGTAGCTCTGCCATCCGGACCACTTCTCGTGCGCCTTCAGCCTCCTATAGTATTCCATTATCTGATTGAACTTATTCTTCCCCTGCTCATCTCTACGGTTGTAACCCTTCTCCCGCATCCGCTGCTCCACTATGTTCCAGAACCCGGCCTTCAACCGAGCACGTCTGTACACCTCCGTATCTTCACCCATAAGCGTCCTCACCTCGTTCCGGAATCGACAAAGCCAGTCGGTTTCCGTATCCCCCGACCTCTCAGTATTCGGCGGGGGCGACGACGAGCCCGGGGCTGGAGGCGTGGACGCCCCCCCGCCCGACTGCGAGGCCGTAGTCCCGGCCCCGGACTGCAATCCGCTAGGGACAGGAGACGGCGTGTCCGTGCGTGCACCCGAGCTGCGACCGCAGCTGGGAGGTGTCTGCTGCTGGGGCGTTTCCTGGGCACCCAGGCCGTTCGCTCCAACGTCGCTGTTATGCACAGGCTGAACTGGCGAGGCRCTACGCTCGTTGTCACGGATCAAGTGGTTCAGCACGTAATAGGACTGGGTAGTCTGCTCATTGCATGGCAATGYAGTGTCACCTGCATCCTCCTGCATGTGCTGAAGTGACCCRTCGCCTCGATGGCCATGCGTTGTCCCCGACCCAGCAGGACTCYGTTGTCCACTGACYGTGGCACCYCCTCGAGAGAAAGCACCGGAGGCAGCGGGACTGGCATGGTGGACCGCCTCCGGCCTTGGAGCAGGGGCATCAGACCCTGCCAACACGCCACCATCCAAGTCCACAGGGAGACCGTCAGCAACACGCATCGCACGCTGCCTCAAGCGCTGCCGCAAGGTGTTTTCGTCCTCACCTCCCAATCCGATCCTGAAGCCGCGAACTGGTGTCACAGGCGATGACAGTGGTGCACCACCTGGGACTGCATTAGTCGGTTGCAGGCTGCCCCCCACACCGTCTGTCACCTTCCACATGGACGGACMATGACCCCACCCCACCCCTGCTGAATGGGCCGACCTGTCGACCCCGTCACTCCCACACGCTGGATGCAGATCTGCGAATGCCGATGGGGGGGTGAATCCCTCTGCATTGATGTGCGCCGGGTATGGTGGATGGGATCCACCGCCACTTGCAGAGACACCGGACCACAGGCCAGGGATGCCGTCCCCCTGCACGGTGTGTCCCGGGACCTGCGTGGAATGCACCGGCCCAGCATCCGCTTCACATGGACCCAAGTCCTGGGACTCAGAGTACCCCCAGTCGGGGATCGCAGACAGGCCTTGCTGACCGGTGTGGTTGGCCATCGTGTACGACGGCGTGTTAGTGGCGCGTGCACGTCTCCGGAAGGACACAGGGAGCTATGGATGAAGGAGCTTACACACACTGAACTCGTCTACGGAGAATAACGGAACGGAGACACCAACGATACAAGGAGCAAACGTTGCCTAGTGGTTGCAGCTGCATGAAGCTATGGCCGACACGACGTAGGATTCGGGGTCTATGCATGGAACCAGCCAAGATCCGCTCGCAGGGACTACGACGTTTCCACATGCACACCCGGATGTCGTTGCGGCCAGTGCTCCCTGTTCATCATGATGACAAAGTGCCAGCTTTCGCGAATGCACATAGACTACGCGGTAGACCGGATGCGTGCAGCGGTGATGAACATGGACGTCGGAGCACATCTGGGTTCACAGACTC